AGTTTTTAAAGCTTGATTTAATAGTTAGTCATATTAGTAAATGTTTCTGTACATTATTGAATGTTTTTATTACCTTTTTCATAATATTTTATACAAAAATAAAGCCTTTTGTTAAACATCATGATTTCTTTGGTAGCTGAATTCGGTGGGTCAAATAAGTCATTAACTGATGAGAATCTAGTTCTGTCATTGACTTAAGTTCTGTCCATAAATAACGGAATTTTATGTAAGTTTGAGTTCCTTTTTGAAGAATATTGAGCGGGAAGCGCTCAATATTCTTTCTGAAATTAGGAAAAAAATTCGACCACTGAAGTCAAAGAATTTACTCCTTCTAGGAGAAATGCCCTTCAAAAGTTTCAACCAAAACACGACCAAAACTGTTTGTTAGATTGTCAAATCCTTTCTACATAGGTGTTACCTTAGAATAATAACGCATAGAATGATAGTGTCATAAAAAACGAACTGTCACAAGTGAGGCAAAATCAAATTCATGTAGGCGTAAGCAACTTGTATTTACGCTCGTCGGTACGCACACAAATATACAAATAATGATGCCATGGAATAACATTTCCCTCAAAAGTGGGGAAATTGTATCTTGCTTAACTGATCGTTAAGTTAGAGGTGCCTACAGATTTGCTCGATTTTGTCGATCGTTACTGTCGATTAGGTGCCTACAGATATGCTTGATTTTGTCGATCGTTACTGTTGATCGACAACGTCAAGTGACAGGAATTTTCAAAAATTTATTTTTGGTAATCCTTATGGAAATGGCATTTATATCTGAATACACGAAGGCGGACACGACTTTTCTCATTTCTGAATCCAAGATGGCGGACACGTCATTTCAAATAAATGCAATATGGGAATCGTTTTCGAGGTATTCGAGGTGCTCATCACGAATATGGCATTTATTTCTAAATCCAAGATGGCGGACACGACTTTTGAAATAAATGCAATATGGGTATCATTTTTCAGGTATTTGGGGATGCTCATTACGAATATGGCACTCATTTCTAAATCCAAGATGGCGGGCACGATTTTTCATATAATGGCAAGTTGGGGATCGTTTTCGAGGTATTTGGGGGTGCTCATTAGGAATATAGCACTTATTTCATCGCTGCTCTAGGTTCCTTCGCGTTTGGATACCACTTTCCACTTAACATCAGGTGGAGTGGAGTCATTTGCCTGTCATGAATAAAAAAAAATATTCTAAATCCAAGATGGCGGACATGACTTTTCAAATAATAGCAAGTTGGGTGTCGTTTTCGAGGTATTTGGGGGTGCTCATTAAGAACATGGCACTAATTTCTAAATCCAAAATGGCGGGCACGATTTTTCGAATAATGGCAAGTTGGGTGTCGTTTTCAAGGTATTTGGGGCTGCTCATTCCGAATATAGCACATATTTCTAAATCCAAGAAGGCGAAGAATTAGAAGAAGAAGAATTAGAAGTCTTGTCCGCCATCTTGTATTCAGATATACATGCTATTTCCTTATGATTTACCAAAAATACATTTTTGAAAACTGTTGTCAACCATCTTGGATTTAGAAATTAATGCTACATTCGTAATAAGCACTCTAAAACTTCTCGAAAACGTCTATAATTCTCAATCATTACTGTCGATCGACAATGTCGAGCAAATCTGTAGGCACCTTCTTAAATACTACCCAATTTTTATTTAACTCATATATGAACAAAAACCTACAAGCGAGTTTAAGTGCGACTATCGAATTTGAATATATAAATAGCCTGATATTATCAGAAAAGTACACGATAAGAATTAAGAAACTGAACATGAAAGTTATTTATACACGATTTTGGAGAACCGACGATGACTTTTTAGTCAGTGTTAGTTTCCTGAAATAATTTTAGTTAAGAACTTTTGAGTCTGGGCAAGACAATTTTTTTAAATGAGTGTATGATGAACAAGAATAATGATTTTTCACATGAAACTAATGAAGGCAAATACTAAATATATTTCGTAAAAATAGCTAACGTAAATTCCCTACGATGTTGTTGCGGCGGTGTACATTTGTAGAAATTTTGCAACCGTCGCGATATTGCCTATTCTGAAAAAATTACGTAATATAATTATTTTGAAACAGAATAGCAAAATGGGGACAAAAAACCAGTTACTTTGCATCATTTCCGTATCTTGTTGCAACGAAATTAATTTTCTGTTTTAGTGAATGTTTACATAAAAATACAAGTTGAAACGCGTTACTTCCTTGTGGAATGTGATGTTAGTGTCTCTTTTATTTTTATCCGATCTATTTTTAAACCCAATTACCGCACATTTCGTCATTTTTAGCAAAAATTTTTGAGCTCCTCGCGGTGCAACTTGACTTTGAGCACTGACAGCCCGCTCGCTCGTGTAGGCCCATAGGGCGCCTTACAATTTGCCTCACTTAGCGTGTGCGGACTAGGTTTCTATGCGTTATTATTCTAAGGGTGTTACATAATTCACGGACTTGTATATTAAACTGGACCGCGCACTAAGTTAATAAAACGAGCCGAGTGAGAGACTTCAAAGTATTAATGCGTCTCTTTCTAATACGGTGTCATTCGCGTTTCAGTTTCAGAAAATACAAATTAGTATACTTATTTGATATGCTACTTCTAATAGAACCTTGTGTTATGTAGTAGCTTTTAGGGTTTTAGTTATACAGGGTGTCCCAAATATCACAGGTGAAACTGACACCCGGAGGTAGGTTGATCCAAGGGGTACAAACCAACCTAACATGACCCCAGTAAAAGTTGGACGATTTTCGAGATATTGCAAATTTAATGTTTTTTTCGAACTTGTCCCTTTTTTTACATATTAAGTTCCGTAATTAGTTTGGACAGCTCTTGGACTATAACTTTTTCATTGTTACTCTATCATAAATAGTTAAGTTTAATAATACCAGTGTTATTTTGTTAAAAACGAATGTGAGATACGAATGAAACGCAATTGATTGTAAAATAAATGACCAGCAATAACAATAAGTTGGCGTTTGGCCACCTGCCCTGAAAAAAACCACTAGATCGTACATCAAATAACTACCTTGAAAAATTGCGTATGTTATGCCGATTTCAAAAAGGTATAATACTTGGTGGTTAATCTGATAAATGGAAAGATTTCGTAAGATCTTACCAATATGCCATTAAGGTTCATTGAAGAGTATGCAGACATGCACTTGATTTATGGCGAAACTCGGCGTGTTTCTGATCGGGGCAATGTTACGTACAACGCAAGATTAGCTGCTAGACTTTACGCTGATCGCTATCCGCAACGTAATCCAACTACTTACCAAGTTATTTTACGAGTGGCAAATAGTTATCACGAGGGCAGACTAGCAGGAATTACTCACTCAGAAGGACGGCCTCGAATTGTGGACGACGACGAGGTTTTAGAAGAAATACGGGCAGAACCGGGAACTTCAGTGCGAATTATTGAACGACGTACTGGTATTCCCAAATCTTCGGTACAACGAGTTTTGAAACGACACAAGTACCACCCATACCACATTCAACGTGTTCAAACGCTTCTTCCGGAAGATTACGCAAAACGTGTGGATTTTTGCCGCACAATGGTAGAGAAATGGAGAGAAAATCCAATTTTTTTTAATGAAGTTCTGTGGAGCGACGAATCGGCCTGCAAAAGAGATGGATACATCAATCTTCATAACGTTCACAGCTGGCAATTGGAAAATCCGCATGAGAAAAGAGAGGATCGGTCACAGTATCAATTTAAAATAAATTTGTGGTCGGGAATTGAAAAGAAGAAAATGATTTGCCTACTTTGTTAGAAGACACGTCATTGGTTTTGACACGAAGGATGTGGTACCAGCAAGATGGTTGCCCGGCACACTACGCACGCCAGGTTCGCCAGCACCTGGACGCCACGTTCCCTCAGAGATGGATTGGGCGATTGGGGCCAATTTTATGGCCATCCCGGTCCCCAGACTTAAATCCAATGGACTTTTTTTACTGGGGATGTTTAAAGGACAGAGTCTATGCAAAACCGATCAGGAATTATCCGAAGAGGAATTACGGCGACGAGTTTTCGAGGCAGCCCACAGCATTTCTGATATAAATTTAAGAAGATTAGGACGAAACTTCATTAGACGATGTTTCTTGTGTATTCGGGTCAGAGGACGCCAATTTGAACATTTACTGTAAAATATTTTTAATTTTAAAATACATTTATGAAAGTTATACTGTATTTGTTATTTTTAGATTTTTGTCAGCAAATTACCACCATCCTAAGTTTCAAAAGCAACTCATTATTATTTCCAACTTGTTATTTCGTAAACAGGTGGTGAATAATACAGAAACCACGTTACAAATCGGAAACAATAACGTACGATATTATTTCCACTAAAAAGCGGCTACTAACGTGGTTCCTACATTTTATCAAGTTTAATGGCACAAAATCTTGTCATTTATCATTTTTAGCATCAAGCATTATACCTTTTTGAAATCGGCATAACATACGCAATTTTTCAAGGTAGTTATTTGATGTACGATCTATTGTTTTTTTTTCAGGACAGGTGGCCAAACGCCAACTTATTGTTATTGCTGGTCATTTATTTTACAATCAATTGCATTTCATTCGTATCTCACATTCGTTTTTAACAAAATAACATTGGTATTATTAAACTTAACTATTTATGATAGAGTAACAATGAAAAAATTATAGTCCAAGAGCTGTCCAAACTAATTACGGAACTTAAGATGTAAAAAAGGGACAAGTTCGAAAAAAACATTAAATTTGCAATATCTCGCAAAACCGTCCAACTTTTACTGGGGTCATGTTAGGTTGGTTCTGTACCTCTTGGATCAACCTACCTCCGGTGTCAGTTTGACCTGTGATTTTTGGGACACTATATAATTAATTTTTAGCTTATGCATATTGCGTTTCTTGATTATTTGTCACCGTTAAGCTGATGGCTCTGAAGCCAATGCTTTATAAATAAATAAATAAAAAATAATAAAATAATTGTGAAATTCCGCCAAAACGTCAAATAAAAGTTTTCTGTAACCGGGCCTAAATGTGAATTTTGTTAGAAAATATAAGACATCTTTTAATATAATGGAGTCTACAGCTACGAAAGGCGCTGAAGACGACTTAAATGTCTCTGATTCCATTGCTTGTCCTGTTTGCAGTCGACAGTTCAAGCACGAATTTATTCAAGAACATGTAAACAAATGTTTATTCCTCAATACAGAGCCAGTAGCTGAACAAAGTCAGCTAAAAAGAAGTGGAACACATTTGCACAATGTCTTTTCACAGGAAAAGCGTATAAAATTGGGACCAACGCCAAGTTCTACTTCTGCGAAGAGCAAGGTAAGGATATGAAACGTTATTAAAAATTTTGTCGATAACTTGAATTCTTGTTTGGCATGTTTTTAATAAGTTAGTCTTTTATTAAGGATCCTCCACAATTAAGCACGAAAATTAAAAGTGTTCCTTCAGTCAAAGAGTCTCAAAGAAAAGATGACATAGTTCCTTTAGCTGAGCGGATGAGGCCCCTCTGCTTGAATGACATAGTAGGACAGAAAGACGCATTCGGGCCTGGGTCCATGCTACGTTCCATGCTGGAGCAGAATAGGATACCTAATATGATATTATGGGGACCACCTGGATGTGGAAAGGTAAGTACTGTATAATTTATTAAGTATAACCTGTGACCTCACTCATGTTGATAAATTAATTATGTACTTTATTAGTTTCTGTCGTGTTCATTTAATGTAGGTACTTGGTACTTGGTGCTGGTATCCGCAACTCGACGACAAAGCGCCTATTTTGCGTGTGGGTAATGTAATGTAATGTAGGTAACAGCATAGGAAACAAAGTCTTCTGAGCAGAATAATTAAATAACTTTATAATAATTTGCTAACAAATAAATCATTTTTTACATTTTCAGACTTCACTGGCCAATGTGGTAGCAAACATCTGCAAGGAACAGAATAACTTGAGATTTGTAAAGCTCTCAGCTACTGTTTCTGGTATCAATGATGTTAAGGATGTGGTCAAAGTGGCAAAAAATGAGGCACAATTCAAGAGGCACACTGTGCTTTTTATGGACGAAATTCACCGGTAAAATATGTATATAAATCGCACCCCTTATGCTTCTTGAAGCTATGTCAAAAATGTTTATTGCTCCATTAGATACAGAGAAATATGACCCACATCCTCTCCAATTATTGTAACTCTATCGAATAATGTTGCCGTGTGTGTGTGTGTGTATGTTTGTGTGTGTGTGTGTATGGATGTGGATTATATTTTTCTATATCCCATGGAGCAATATACAATTGTGACATAACTTCACTTATGCCATTCTTCCATGAGGGGTGTGAATATTGAACTTACACTATAACTTCTAATCTTCTAGTGACACTTTACAGCTTAGTTTGTTAAAATTTGTACATGTAATGACAATCCTGGATTTTAATAATTATATTTCGTACATGAAATCAAATACTGTCATAACTCTAAATTGTGGAATTGGGAAAGCACAATTTGAAAATGGAAAAAAATACTGAATGGGTCTTATATTCATTTCTACACTAGAAAATATGTTTTGGTTTCATTCAGTTTTTTTTATTTTGAAATTGTGTTTTCTCAATTTTGAGTTACAACAGCATTTGGTTTCGTGTGCAATTTGTTCTGTTTAAGCTTCAATTTGTTTATAGTCCCTGTGATTTGTTTATAACTAATGTACATAAATATATTAGAAACAGAATAACTACTAAATTAAACTAACTAAATACTTAAACAAACATTGTTGTAGATTTAACAAACTCCAACAAGACACATTTTTGCCACATGTGGAAAATGGCACTATTACCCTAATAGGTGCTACTACAGAGAATCCTTCATTCAGTTTAAATAATGCTTTACTGAGTCGCTGTAGAGTAGTCATCATGGAAAAGTTAAATGTGTCTGAAGTCATGCAGATCTTAGAACGAGCTTTAGACAAAGGAAAACAAGCCTACATTGTAGATTACAATGGAAAACTTGAGAAGAAGCTTGAAAACGAAGAAGTACCCGAGTAAGTGGAATCTTAAATTTATTTTTAAGATTATAATTAAGTGAAACAAATCTTGTGAAATTGTTCTCCTTTCAAATTTCTAACACTCTTAGGCTCAACTCACACTGGCGCAGAGTAGAAGCGTTGCGACGCGTCATGTTTTTCGCCTATAGCATATTCATCTCTATTTTCCCATTTAAGGTTCAAATTTGTGTTATGCAAATATGGAGTCGCGCGTCGACTCTTGGTTGCAGGCGATCAACTACGCGCGGCGTCACTTGACCGCAGTGAGGCGTCAGACGCCGACCACACTGTGATCCGGGCGCACTAATGCGAGAGTCGTCGCCAGGTGTTGTAGTTGAAAAACAAGACGCGACGCTTCGACTCTGCGCCAGTGTGAGTTGAGCCTTAGGGCGCATTTATTCGACACGAATATCATCGCGCTCACCCCGCGCAGTCGCCGAGTGGAGTTCGCGTTGCCGCCGCGTGCGTTGAACTGTCATGGCAAAATACGCTCTATTTATTTAGTATTTACGTTTTAACTTAAATGAGCGTCTCAGGTATGCGGGCGAGGTTGGCTTGAATTTGAGCTACGCGGCGGCCGGCCGCGCGATTGTATAATTCAGAGGAATTTAAATGTTGTTGCCTAGTAAATAGAATTCAGATTCGCCATTAATGTACAGAAGACTACACATTTTTGTTCGAAAATCGCCTCCAGTGCAACAGAACAAGATACGTCAATGTGTAGCTTGATGTGCTGGTGTGTGTACATACATGAAGGCGTGGTAATTGGGCGGTCGCCACGCGGCGGCCGCGCCGAAAACTTACTCCTCGTGTAACTTGGCACTTAAGGTTATGGTACCTAAATATGGTAATTTTGATATTGAAAGTAGTAGTGGTGTAGATTTGAAGCCATTCTTTTTTTTTACACTCTATAGGTGTCTAATAGAACGTGCATCACTTCAATGGCTCGCAGAGGTTTGCGATGGTGACGCTCGCATTGCACTTGGAGCACTTGAACTAGCTCTAACCTCGCGAGATACTGGTAAAGAGTTACATAAAGAAGGACCGACCGTGCTTACTCTTGACGACATTAAGAATGGTATTAAGGTAATTTAATATCAATTTTATCTGCACTTTTGAGACTGTGTTTGTAATGTAAGATATGGTCTTTATTTTATTTTTAGCGTTCTCATATGGTATATGATCGTCAAGGTGATGAGCATTACAATTCAATATCGGCTCTTCATAAATCGATTCGCGCAAACGACGATAACGCTGCTCTTTACTGGACCACTCGAATGCTTCATGGCGGCGAAGACCCTCGGTTCATAGCCCGCCGGCTCATACGAGCTGCTTGTGAAGACATTGGTAATGTTGGGACAATTTATGTCCTCACCACTATTGTTTGTTCTGCTGGATTTTTATGTGTGTATGTGTCATTCCAGCATTATAAAAAAAAAATTACTTCTTCAGGATTGGCAGATCCCAATGCATTAGTTGAATCAGTAGCATGCTTGCAAGGGTGTCAACACATTGGAATGCCCGAGTGCGACGTATTATTAGCACAATGTGCAGTCAGGCTAGCTAGAGCGTCAAAAAGTACTGAAGTATATCACGCTATGAAACGATGCAAAAATTCTTTGGCCAAAGCAAAGGGTCCTCTTCCACCAGTACCGCTTCATTTGCGCAATGCGCCGACAAAACTTATGAAAGATATTGGTAAGTGTGTAATTTTTCCCTAAATTTGTACACGTACCATTTATTTCAACTGCCTCAGTGGCCGAATAGTTACCATACTGGACTGTCATGCAGATGTCAGGGTTCGATTTTCGGGTCGGGACAAATATTTGTATGACCTACATTTATTTATCTCGTGAGTTTGGGTGTAATTTGTGTGTCCATGGCACTCGCAATAGAGGGTTTCTTTCCCCAGTGCTGGGCTATTAGTGTGTGTCTTATGATTTATTTATGATGCTGACTGGTAAACAATGGTCGGAAAAAGGTGTTCCATATAATTATATAGATATAGCTACAAGGAACGACAGAGTTTTTAAAACCACCAAATTAATTACTGTTTCGAATTCCGGATTTCCGGAAATGGTTTTACTGCATCGTAGGACAAAACTACTGACATAGGAAGTCGAAGATATATTTTAAAGTAATTCTAATGGTGCCATGTAAAAATGCAGTAGATAACCGACATTTTACCAAAACAGAATAAAAAAGTAACGAGAATGGTCACTCTCCGCCCTTCCCTCGCTTTAGACACCGCGTATTGACGGACCGGCGACGTTTGTTAGTAGAACTTAAGAAAAAAAAAAATTTAAATTTTATTTTCGAGGGGAATTTTAGGACATTTTAGTTTCCATGAAAATTGTTGTGATCGCGCTCTAAAAATATTTTCTTTGAATTCAAAAACACAGTTTAACAGATGTTCATAAATTCGACCTACTAGCAGAAATGTCGTAATTTAAAAGGAAAATGTTCACACTAGATTATTTTAATACTTTTTATTTAAAAAAACTGCTGAACGCTTAAACAAGATGAAAAAGTGCCATTTTTCAAGGCCTTACCCATGTACGGCTATTTATCTTCATAAATAGAATAAAGAGAGGAGTTTCTTCCGTCCGGAAATCCGGAATTCGAAAAAAGTAATGGTTTTAACAACTTTATGTCGCTCCTTGTAGCAATGTCTATACATGTATCTACGTATGTAGAACTCCTTTTTCCGACCATTGCTGATAAACTAACCCTTCATAAAATTTTACTCCACTTACACATCCTACAAATGATATTTTTTTTAGACAATCAGTGCGGACTATCTACACATTTGATAAAAGTCAAAAACCAACTTTGCATACCAATCAATTCAAGGTGCACTTATTTCAGCAGAGTAACTGAAATTTTATTATATAGTCAGGTAAAAAGTTGTCATTTAGGTGGTTCTATATACTTGGCAAGAACACTTACTTGACTAGCCAAATTTTAATAGATTCACTGGATTACAAAAAATAAACTAAATTTTTAACTTAAAATTACAAAGTAAATTTTTGGTTTGCTTGATCCATTTACATCATTTTGTTGTACCTTTGACTTGCAGGTTGTGGGCGTAGATATAACACCTTACACAAAGAAGAGTCAGGTTTGTCTTACATGCCTGAAGGTATGGAAGACGTAGATTTCTTTCGTGAAACTGAGGATGAAGGTGGGTAAATTTTGTTTGGTGTGTTATATATGCGTATTATAATAGTATACATAAAAGTTGAAATAAAAAACGCAAATACTAATGTCAATGTTTTTATTTACTTGGATAATCTCATTTCACAATTATATTTGTTGACATGGTAAAAATTTACTATTTACAAGTTTCACACATACATAATTGTAACATTTACCTAATATTGTACCTTTTGTAACATTGACGGCTTCTTTTCTGCCACAATTTTCGATCCTACGTTTATAAAAATAAAATAGCATGTTATTTCTTACTTTACAACTTTTACTATAATGCACATTGTGCAAAAAATATACCATGATAATTTACATCATTTCCTGCGCAACTTCACCAAGTCACTGTATTGAAAAACACAACGCGTGCTAATATTGCTCTTCTTTAGCGGATGAGGTTTGTATACGGCCTTAAAGTGCACCCTATCCGAGAGCCTCGCTACTTACTTTATACAAAACACTCAATATTGCATACAAGCTATTTTCGAACTGCTTAATTCACAGCATATAGCCAGTTCTAAAAATAATGGAAGATTGCAATCTGTTGTGAAGTTTCAGTGTTTAATGAACATAATATAAAAATCATTCTCGAATTCCTATTACTACCTGTTTTATAGATAAAGAACGATGTAATGTTGTGAAGAGCGTCAAAACTTACTGAACAGATTGCAAACATACACAAGAAAAGACTTAACCTAATTCCATACAACTACAGCTTATTCTAAATCTTATGTTATTCTCACCTAATATTTTCTACATCAAATAAATTAGAATCAGACTTCTAATTTGGATCCTAACCAGGGAAGGAACAATATTTTTATAAAGGTTCAAACAGAATGTTTTTACTTTTTTCTAATTTCGTTAAAATTTCATAAACTGTATAAATAAATGTACATACATTGGAAAATTACCATAATAATGTAAAATAATGTATAGCTTCTGTTAGTTACGTCCACAATTTAAAAAATGTAATCGGGGCCGGCCATATCAATAGCCCAGCGGAACTTGTCGCGCTGAGTTTTGTTGTAAATCTTCTCGATAGGGACTCCATGCTTCTTGCACCTGAAAAATATGAAACATAAAATTACCAAAAATTTGCAATTTGGAATGTAAGTATTTATTTAACAATATTATCAATAACCCTTACCAAGCCACTGAAATTCGTGGGTCAAGATAATTAAGCTTAGAAGTGCCGAGAGCGATAGTTTTGTTTTCGTCACGGTCTGTCTCTTGTAGTTCCAACTTTTTGAGCTGTTCTTTCAATCTCTCCAAGGCTTTCTTTTTCTTATCACAATTAAATTTTTCTTTAACTGAACCGCGCTTGGCTGCCTTGGAAGCTTGACGAAAATCTTCCTCAGCTTCATCTAATTGATCACGTTTGGCTTGGATTTTATCTTTTAGAGCCTCCATGGACTTTGAATGACCTGAAACAATGTTAACAATAAATTTTCAGAACTTGTCGAGTATAAAATGTGTTATTGCATAATATGTTGATCAATTTATTGGTACCTTTAGGTACAGCTCGTTGATGGTTGCACAGAATAGCGACAGCTCTGTTTGCTCTGTTGTAAGCCAAAATTTTCTCAGGTACTGATGTATCAGCATCAGTAAGTTCTTCAAGTTGTCTTTGCAATGTGATGGATGCATTGTACGTACGAAAAACTTTTGCAGTCAGCCCTGGCATCAAGTCTTTCAAATGTTCATTCAAAGTTTGTGTATTAAGTCTGTCAAAGAGATCATCACTGTCTTTTTTATTCTCCATGAACAGTTCGAGATTCTTAAATACGCGTTTTTCCACTGGTACTTCATTATAATATCTGATAGAATCTTTACCCAGGAAATCAAATACTACTACATATTCCTTGCCATCTTTTTCTTTGTGCAGTTCAATGTGCTCAACACGCAATGAGCAGCAGCCCACCGTATCTGCTTGATCATCATCTTTTTCATTACCAGCTCTCAAAGCAAGGCGATCAATAAAGTACAGTGCCACTGCACGCTGGCGGACGCGCATTTCTTTAGATTTCCAGTCCGCACGATATGTATCTCTGATTTTATCAATACACTTGTGGAGTTTTCTGGCAGTTTCATACTTTTGCCAATCTTTTTCGCCTTTCAATTTTGAACTTGGGTTTAACATTACATATTTGGACTGACCCTGAACATTTTCAGTCCATGACGCCAACCAAGTGACTGAGTTATCATGTCTTACTTCCTTCCACTTATGGCCCTGTGGAGGTTTGGGTATTTTGCTGTCCTTGGAACAGTTTATCAACACGTCTTCTGGCATCACACGTCTCTTCAACATACCCATCTTAGGATGTTCACCCCGACCTCTGAACAGACCTGGAGGCTCAATTCTAAAGTTACCAATTTTCTCTTTATGACCATCTATAGTACAGAATCCATATTCCTTTTGAATTTCCTCATTTTTTGCCTTTAATTCTGCCTTTTCCTCCTTTGTGCGATTTCTATTTTTCTCTGCTAGTTGTTGAAAATATGAATGCATTTCTTTGAAATCACATTTGGACAGATCTTTGATAATCTTAGCTTCTTCATGTGTCATCATTTTGCGCCAGTCAGCAAAGAAGTTGTTATTAAATACTGATTTAGTTGTGTAGTCGTGATCCAACATTCGAGCGTAGAATCCTGCCACTTCTTCAGCATCCTGTGAAAGTCTCATCACTTTGCCGTCGTAACGGAATTTCACATTTTCAGGAAGAGGTTCATAAGCCGGTGCAAATACTGGCCCTTTGTGTTCAAGGAATGCCCACTTAGTACCATCATCCTTCTTTTCTTCTTCCCACCTAAAATATTTACGTAATACATATGACATTGAGGAATAAAATAGTAAAAAGTATGAAATTACACACTTATTTCAAGATAAGATATTATGGAATAAGAATGGCAAAATAATTAATTAAAAATAAGAATCCACGCACTTTCTCCTTAGAAATCTTCGATATCTTAGGGCAGGTATAGTTTGCGATGTTTTTTTCAAAATGTAACTAAATTGCGCTAGTTTTTTACCAAGAGTAATAAACATAATGTAGTAACATAACCTAAATGTCGAACTATAACCTCAATATGTTGTCACAACAACGCCATCTATGTTTTTAACGTAAAAACATTTTTCTTATTAGTCCTAAAAATTGACACCACTCGTTACGGCGGGTTATTTCACTCGCAGTGTTTTTTCTCTGTCACATGTGAAGCTACATACAGTATACGGTCACTTTTTTTGAAATTAAGTTTAAATAATTATGTAAATAACACAAGGTACATATCTCAACCATTCAATCTGCATCAATCTAGTTTGCTGCACCTACCCAATTGCCAAGAGATGAATTTTGCCTCAAATTATCTTCAAAAATAATTACCATTTCCAAACTTCTTGCTCAGCAGCATCTGTTTTCTTCTTCTTTTTTGTGGGACTGACGCCTACACTTGGTTCCGATTTAACTTTTGCTGCTGGTTTAGGCTTCTCTTTCTTTTTCTTCTTTTTAACAATTGGTTCATCTTCATCATCATAGTCAGATTCTTCTTTCTTGATTTTCTTTTTCACCTTTTTGGATTTTAGTATAGGTGCATCTTCATCGGTGTCACTAGCTAGAGAGCGTTTCGGAGCTTTGCGTTCAGGCTACAGAAACAAAATAAAATTGAATACAAAATTATGATGGAGGAAAAATATGGAATTATGTAAGGTAATACCATTGATGCGTCGTCCTCACTATCGTCCTCGGGTAGGTCACCGAGAGGTTCGTCCTTGAACTGCGACAGGGAGTAGTCACATGATGAAACAGTGTGGTTCATGCCTATGTCACCATCATCACTGTCCTCCTCTTTCTTGACTTTAATTGCTGTTTCTGGTTCATCTACCTAATCATTCCAATAAAACATTTTTCCAGTGAATAAACTAAACAAGTTTAAAAATTGTGAATATAATTATGATCAGTACAATGGTTATAAGATGAATCTGTATGATATTTAGGGTCGTATTCTAGAACTCTACTCAATGCTCAAGTCAGGATTTGAGCAGACTTGAGTATGATTTCAAGCACTGGAAATACGACCCTAATGGCAAGGACTCGAGTATGATTTCTAGTGTTTTGAATCATACTCAAGTCCTGACTGGAGCATTGAGTAGAGTTCTAGAATACGACCCTAACTTTAGAACTCCAAGAACTACTTGCACATGATATACCTAATTAATTATATTTAGATTAAAGTCCTCTAGATAGATAGCAATGAATATTTATTACAAGTCTCTAAAATGGTAGCTACAAATGTTACACATGTTATATTTAATGACCTGCATAGGCTCCTGTTTCACAAGAGGATCTTGAGAGTCTACTTCAGACTTAACCTTTGTACTGCTGCTCTTCTGTTTCTCTTTACTCTTACTGGAGCTAAACAAAAAAAGAATATTTGTTTAATACTATAGAAATTTTAATGTCACAACATAACATGCATGTCATTGTAAGTCAATGATGTCAGTACATAAATATTTTTTATCAATATAAACAAAATATTTATGAATCTCTGTAAAATTGGTATAATTATGTACTATCCCTTATAGGTGACTTAAAGCAATCATATATCAATCAATAGTGCTCTAAAATGAATTCAGGTATGTATGATGCACAGAATTTATTAATGCATGAAATAAATTTTATTTTGCTGCAAAAACTTTTAAAGCACATTGTAAAAAGATAAAAAAAACAGCTTCCAAAGTTTGCATGCTGCCAACCAAAGTATTGTATGTATGTTCAGCAAGTTGTGGGAAATACTTTAAGACCTTAATGTATACTTCTTGGGGAGCATTGGCTTCAAATTAAAAGGTAGTCATAAATTATTTATCAATGATAACTAAACATTTATTCAGACATTTTTGTCCAAGTTAAAACAAGAAATAGTTTTATAAGTCTCAGATCATAGGATGAATGTGATTACCATTTGGAAACATAACCATGAAACATGAAACATTTGGAATTTGCTCCAAGTAAATTTTAGTCCTCCAACAAACAATATCAATATTCTACATATCTATTTTAGAACTGAAAATGTAATAATTAGCTGTAAATTTATAAAAAACGACATTACTATGAATTTATTATTTCAAAATATTTTATCAAAAGTGACATTAGTGACAATACCTGAATTGTACTACTTTGTTTATGGATTTGGAATCTCAAGTGATTTTTTATAGTAGGTATGTTGCAGAGGTTTACTAGGATCTCTGTAAATAGCAAATGTGTTGTTAGCAAGGTTTCATTAAAAAAAACATTCCTTATATTCTTAGAGGATAAAAAAACAAAGGAGCTGCTTTATCTATGGAATAAACGTCCCTATAAACCAAAAATGTCCACCACAAATGGCAGATTTAGTATTGTACCATAATCATAGATAAGTCAATATTGACATGCAAATGTATGGCTTGAATGTTGAAACTATTGTTACTGTGTTTTATGTTTGCAAATTTGTGTAGTATACTATAATCAAAGTATGATTAATACTAGGCTATTATTACTAGGCAAGTAATGAGCCATTTTAATCAAAATTAAATATAAAGTTATTTACCAATAAATATAACGATGGAATTGCATTATCATGTAATCTAGTTACATTCAAAGTTCTATTAACATTTGACTCTTCAAAATGGAGCAAACAAATGAAGATGGTATTTGATCCAATGTTAATGTTCAGCAGTCCTATAATTTCCAACCATTCTTTCTTTCTTTTTTCATTTGTAGGTAAACTTTAAAAATAATAGTAATGAAATAATAAAAACCTTGTAGTGAAGTGTTTCAATAACAAAATGTTGATAATATGTGTGCTTACAAGAACAACACTATGTCAAAATAATCATTATCAACAATCATCAAAATATACTAACAAACAGGCAATCTAAAGTAACCAAAACAAAATTCGGCAAGACTTATGAATAAACTACATAAACGAGTCTAAATACATGAGATATTTCGGCTATTGTATGATTTATAGGCAGAAAAATAACACATGTGTAATGTAACATTCGGTTGCGCCGCACCGACATTAATGCTGCAGGCCTTTATCAATATCAAGGTTTTTATCAATACTTAATTGTTCTCACTGTCAATATTTTTGTCCATTTCATTACAATTCATGCGAATAATTCACTAAAACATTTGGCCAACAAACATTGGTTTTGACATTTGATGTACTTCCCTTTGACAACCAGATACCGATGTTAAAGGGTACTCCAAAAATGGTAAAATGAGGACAGTTGGCATTTAAGATGACGTTACGTATTTTCGATTCCCGTGTTTGACATAAATCAATGTAGTGCTCTCTTTTGCCTTATGACAGCACATTGTTTTCACTGTCTAAATGCATCATATACATATAATGTCTGATTTACATATATCAATATAACATGTCCTTTGGTTTCATAGTCTAATCTTATATTATAGGTTCTAGTAAATCAACATTTTCTTTTTATATTGTCTTTGTGCACTTGATTCAAATAAAGCTCTTAAATCCAGGTGTTTAACTGTTTGCCTAAATAAATAAAATATTAATAATTTTTTTTGGAAATAAAATGTGTTGATACCTGTGTTTATCTGATGAACTAGTGTGTTTCTCTTTATCACTGCGGTGTTTGTCTTTGTCACTTCGGTGTCGGTCCTTGTCACGATCGCGCTCCTTGTCCTTGTCTTTAGACTTATGCTCTTTGTCCTTTGAACTTTTATGTTCTCGGTCTTTATCCTTGGAAGATGATGATTTCTTTTCATCACTGCTCTTGTGTTTGTCTTTGTCTTTATCACTTCTGTCCTTGTCTTTATCCTTGTGCTTGTCCTTGTCATTGCGGTGTTTGTCTCTGTCACTTCGTTCCTTATCTTTGGAGCTGTGCTCTCGGTCTTTCTCACTGCGTTCCTTCTTATCACTGCGATCCTTGTCTTTGCTAGAGGACTTGTGGGAGCTGCTGTGGCTCTTACTACTTGAATGTTTGTCCTTGTCCTTTTCCCTATAATTAAATAATAGAAGTCTCAGATCTAGTTTTATTTGCATAAATAAAAGAGGTGTCCAAATAGAATCATCTAGAACACTAACCTGCTAGAGCTGCTGCTGTGCTTAGAGCTCTTGTGATCGTGATCTTTGTCGCGATGCTTGTCTTTGCTGGATGATTTGTGGCCGGACTTGTGCTTATCCGAGCTGCTGCTGTATCCGTTGTGAATACCGTTCACGTGTTCATTTTTATTGCCGTTTAACTTTCCCTGCAAAAGTAACCAAATTGCACTTGTGAAAAATTGCTTATTTCAAGCAAGGTTATTAAAGATTTTCTTATTGAAATACGCAGTGAATCCAACGCAATGTGGCAAACTTATTAATAAAATGAATCTAATTACTGACTGACGCTTCGACTTTGTCTGGTCTCTGTAATATAGGAGACGCCATATTGGGACTTAGAAAAATTTCGATTCGTGGAGTGTATAACGTACACCAGTAAATAGTGATGCTCAGACTTTGCTCCGGTTTAAAAGGTAAATAAAATGACACATCAAATAAATGCAAATTCATATGGCTACTTACCGATTCACAATTACTATCGCTGATCGGGTTTTCGACACTCATTTTGCCCACGTATTACTACCGTTTGTTCGAGATTACATGAGGCCGGCCAAACGAGCGCAAATTCTAAGTGCTAAGAATCGACGAATGCGCATGCGTTGTCCTACGCTATATCGACAACTTCAGTTGGCTGTCGGTTCAATGTTCGCATTCTTGATAAACTTCAAGTGTATGCCGTCTTGCCATTTAAGAGAATCAAAATTATACTAAATGGTATAAATTCAGAATTTCCTATTTCTACTCAGTAAAATAAATTTTAATTAATGAAACAAATTACCAGTGTTTTCATTGTCTACTATATTCCGTTTTGGTGAATTTGTAAATAAGTTCCTCGTCGCAGTTTTATCGATAGCGCACTCTATGACGTATGTACGTACATATATCTTATTATAATAATTTAGTTACAGGAACCTAATAAAAAAAGTCCTCAAGTAAATTGTTTTATTCCAAGGCATGAAAAATCAATACATTTTGCATAATCTATCATGTATAAATATTTTATCTTAGTAATTAGGCTACTCTGCTGAACAATAAATAAATGTCTAAGTACTTCATAAACAAACAGGACTGTTTAAAACTAGCAGTAGGCACTTATCATTATGCATAACATTAAAAATTATTAATTCTTACTACTAGATTGATTGCATTCTTTTGTACTCTTAAACACAGTTTTCCCGTTGGAGTCATAGGTTCCCTTAAGTTTCTTAAATGCAAAAGCCATGTAGATAGCTGAAATTGAAAGAAATTTATATATAAGAGGGTCAATGATTAAATATGTTAATATGTATTTGTTATGAGAGTGAGAATACTAACTTGCAACCTCCCATTCACATCTACTCATAGTTCCAAGTCTATCGCGCTCATCTTTATTATCTTTTGTCTCCCAGAAAGCCCGTACATGTTCATAATCTGACTCTTCTCCTATCAGCTCTTTACCTGGTGGAGCTGGATAGGTCTCAAAACATATAATTCTACTTAATAATTGTTTGTAGTTAACAGAGTGTTCTTTGAAAAAGTCAGCAAATCCCGCTTTATATACAAGCTTCAGGCCATATTCTGCTGCTAATTTTTCAAGCATTTGAAAATTGACTAAAAACTCTGGACAATCTACAACCCCTTCTAAGTGAAAGTCATACTTTGCTCCAAATAAAGGGTAGCTATCTTTAGGATCAAATAACAGATTGATATTGTAGATCCTATTTCCAAATGACCCATTTGGTGATTTACGAGCACGACTAACAATCTCATAAGCATTTGGTATAGTGCCAAAGAAATAACCTTCCGGTCTTATGCATTCTGATATGTTGCTTAGCATTCGCCGTGCTTGGGCTAAGCTTTCAAAACAATAATGAAATCCAAACTGGCAACTGACTACATCAAAATTTATTGACGGATCGGTGTACTTGTCTCGGAGTGTTTCTTTAGTGCAATCAGCTGTAATAAATTCTGCAGAATAAATTCGTCCGCAGCGTTTTCTAAGGTCTTCATAGCGTACTTGACACTGTTGAATTGACACTTCTGCAATGTCAGCAAATATTACACGTTCTACTCGTGCTTTCTGCCATTTACTCAAATCGCCGCCTTTGCCACAGCAGATATCCAACACTTTTAATGGTCTACCATAATCTTTTTCTCTAACTTTATCAGTATATTCTTGAATTAGAACACTTTTCACCCAATTATTAAAGTTTCTGAGATAGAATATTGGAGATTTAAAACGTTCATTGAGACCTTTTTCTTCAAGGTGGTTATAATGTGCGGCTACGACTGAAGCATGTTCCTCGACTCGCGGCACTTTTTCCGGCGGCGCAGTGCTGTCTGCACTGTTGTCACTTAAATATTTTGAGTTAAGCTTGCCTTTTTTATTCTCTGCAGAAGTTTCATCGTCAGAATCAGGTTTTCCACCATTGCTTGGTATGGATTCCGTTTTGTCCTCTATACTAGTCATAGTTGATATTTATTTTTTCTATAAATATTCACAGCAACGTTTCAGTCTTTTGCATTTGTCGATCCCTTTACTGAACTGAACAAACTCACAAATAAAGTAAAACAGGCGATGCCGAAGATGCACACAATCGAACGTCTATATTGCTTTTGGTTGTCTATGAACCGTAGATTATGGAAAGAACTACGGTGCAAATAGGATTGCTTGTTATACTTTGTTTGCTACCGCTGTCGACATGGTGGTTTATGTGATTAAGCATTTCTGCAGATTACGGTGGTGTAAACATACGTTTTCCATGCCAAAATAATGCTTCATTGACGTGTCGTGCTCGTTCTAGGCAAATCCATAAAAATGTTGCCATTTTCAAGACAATTTTTGTACCGTTCGTTAAAACGGGCGTGCACGAAAAGACGCGCGGTATAATTTAAATGTTTCTATATATGGTTGTCGAGCTTTCAACAAATTTAATGTCATGTCATTATTTAATGTGTTCTAGTATAAATTTGTTATTAGTAAACACTCTTAAAATCCCTGTATCTGTAAGGTGAGAAGGAGTGTGTTAGAAAGAGTATAATAAGAATTAATAAAGGTTTTCTTCTAAATGTGTGTTTTAAGTTCCTTTCATGCAGTCATTAACCTTAGTATAGTCTCTTAAATTGTTTATAGATTAAAATCGAATATAGAGTTACACGATAAGCACCCATCCATTATTGAAAGCAATTTTTAGCTATTATTTGTGGTTTTTTACTTGTTACAGTTTATAGGATATACGGATATCAATGAAGTTGCGTTTATTGACAGTAGTCCATGGTAAGAAGTTTCCTGTATATTCTTTTATGTATATTTCTGTGTATAGGCAATGAACTTTAATATGATTTTTTAAATTTAGATTTTGTTTTCTTCTCTAACTAAACAAGTCGAGAGTTAAATTAAGAGAATTGAAATTTATGGGGAAATGCGATACAATTATTAAATTTAATTTACGACGAAAAGTAGAACAAAAGTTGTTAATTTTCAGAATAAACCCCTCGTTTTAAAGCGTCATAAACAAAATCCTGCCTCAAGTTTTTGTATTTGCTGTTTACTCAGTCTCTTGTTGAAAAATCACCAGCTTTATGACGAGTGTCATCGCTAATGTTATTGCGCACAAATAAATTTTCTCGAAGTTCCTGTCAAACGACCACCATTTCTACAATCTCAATGTACTATCTAACACTTTCATTGTACCTACTTTGCTAAAAAGAAAATTTATTGTCTGTCGTCTTCTAGTTTCGAGGAATTTAAAGACTGGTAGCTTGTACATATATAGTTCCATAATACTTGCAATATAATTGAAAATAGTGTTGATAATTATTATGGCTTCGAAATTGCGATTAAAACAATGTAGCGAAGGGACAGCACAGACATGTAGGTAGGTACTTATATTTCGCACAATGGGCAACGTGTGTAGTTAAGGTATGATGATAGTTGAGCTACAACAGAGACAGGTCCGACGAGCCGGGGCATGGCCGCAGGCGCAGGGGCGGAGGGGCTTCGGTGCCGTTACGTGGTGCGCCCGCGACTCGACGCGGTGCCACGACGCGGACGTGCTTCAGTCAGTTCGTGCGCGAAAGTCGTAACCTACCTGCGTCACACAAACATTTCCTACACACGCGAAAACAACTCCCTGCTCACAAACTGAGCAAAACCAATCAGTTTATGCAAAGAGGACGATCAGTGCACTAACAGTTCACAGGATTGTTGGAATTGTAGTGCGATAGTGTTATGTGTGGACGAGAAAGCGTGTAACGTCAGTAGGACCGGCCGGAGTGATCATATGTTGGACGCGGATGCAGTGATGGAATGTGGCGTTTGTTATGGTGACGTGCAATGATGCAGTGTACCCGAATACCTGGTGTTTAGCCGCAGCGCCGCCAAGCCGCGGGTCCTCCACGAGAACCATGCGTAGAAAAAGATGAACCAGGATGCTGAGAGCTTGGTAATATCACTTTTACTTCCACACATTTTACTTCGAAGTTTACATAAAAACTTATAAAGCCTTTAATGTTTACCCTTGCGCAGCCAAGTGTCTAATAACATGCGACGAAATCAGTACCTGTGATTTCAGAAATATCTATTTATATTGATGATATTATAGAATGTAAACGTAATCGTTGATGTTCAAGGCTGACGATAGACTTTGCTAGGAGAGACGATTGTCATTTCTCGTTTCAAAAAGTGTTATTCTTATTTACACATTTCTTAGATGGTCAATGCTTAAATCATGAGAATAAACGAATTAAACAGGTTAAATTATTGTGTGTTGTAGTAATAAGGATAAATAGGTCTTTATATATATAGTTAATTTATTTGCACGCTTATTGAAGGAAAACGACGGCTATGAAAAAGTGAATGGTATGCTAACAATAGGCAGTAGTATGTATAATCGAAGTCCAAAAATAATTTTCGACTTTTTCAATTAATGCATTGTTAGCGACTCGATTGAATACTCAAATTATAAAACGATAGCACAAAGATGTTTCAATGCGTGTAGGAGCAAATTGACCACGTAGGAAATACTTAGCATAAATTGGGGTTATTGACTTACCATTGTGATCACACTTTAAAAGACCATAGGAAATATTTATATCTGGCAAAGTGTGTGCGTACGACGTACCCTTTTTTCAATAATTTAATGTAGTTGCGCTATTATGTGACTGTGTGAAGCATAGTGCACGTAATATTGCAGCCAGTTGCAACAGTTGTTTTGTGTGATTCCAGCAATAAGTGTCGAAAGCGTTCGTGGGACCGCGTCTTGCCTCACGTTATACGCATTCGCTCTAGTTTCTGTGCTATTGTTAACTAAGATTTCTTTACACCTATTTATTATCTTTTTGTTTGATTGGTTACATATGATATTAGATATTATTTCGTGTAGTAAGCTGTAATCGACAAAAAGATAGCAGTGAATCTTAGTTGGCACAGCAAACCTAGTAAGAACACATTTCGTATCACTCAAGGCCAAAGTCAGTCTTTGATCTAAAGTACTTAAGTATTTTCTCTTACATATTTTTTTAGAACATAACTTTTTACAGTGCACGACAGTCGATGATTTCGCTGTGTATTTCATAAATTATGCGTTATGTATCGCGCAAAAAAAAAACATTACATTCTTGTAAATGAATTGGTCATGTAATAACGCATAGCTATCGGTTTCGAATACCTGTCTGCTGTTAGTAATACAAGGTACCTACGCGTAATTCTACTATAGCCGAATTTTTACTTAGAAAGCGCAAGTGGAACGACCGGACCTTCATCTAAAACTTTCACAGTGTAACCAACGTAGAGGTACTTACCACGCTTACCACTTGAATTACATAACATTTTTATATAAAACTTAACATAAAGCTATTGGAAAAGTGTGTTGACCTAAAAAACCTAAACGGAAAGAAAGGAGACACGCGCAAGGCTAACAGGTTATGCACAGTATACGCCAAATTGGGATTTTCGTTATATTTTGCAGCCAGTCTTAAATCTATGTATACTGCTTATAAAGGAACTTGTGCAACGTGTAGGGTGATCCCATTTACAGTGGTATAATTTTTTTCTAAACAGAGTAAGTACCTACATTGTAAATAGCCAATACATATATGTTCTTTATGTAGTTTTAAAATTATTCCACATAATCAAATTTCGTTTGATTGTTAACCATTAGCTAGCTTAAATGATCCATTTTTGTGTTTATTCTTAGATTGCACCGTTGTTTCACACAATTTGGTATTTTTTTATTTTTTAAATCATTCAATACCAAAGTTTACAAAGTGTACTGTAATAATTACTTGAAATTTGATTTATTTTAAAAAACTCAAATATATCTTCCTATTCTCAAATAATGCACACAAATAGTTTTTGTTGTGGGAGAGTAAGGACTGAGTCTTAAGGTTGCTAATATATTGACTGCGTGTTTGCAGTTAATGCTGAAGTCGTAATTAACTTCACGCATTAACTGCATGCAATCGATCTCGGCTGCACGAAATCGGTTTCGACTGCAAGCAGTTAATGCGCGAAGTCGTTGTAAATTTCACGCAGTCGAGGTCTCGGCTGCATGAAGTTGATTACGACTTCACGCATTAATTGCAAACATGCAGTCAATCTGCTAGCAGCTTAACTAAAAAAAAATATTTTTTATTTTTATAATATCTAGTGACGTGACGAACTAGTCGTGCGCCTGATGGTAAAGATTATCAAATTATAGATCATAAACATTGCAGTGCCACTCAGAGCTTTAAATCGCAAAGATCTGAGGGGCACTACCACTGCGCCCGTCACCCTGTGACATAAGTTGACAAGCCCCATGTACCTGTAATTTCACCAGCACCCTTACCCTTCAAAACCGGAACACAGTAATGGTGACGTTACTGATTGGCGGCAGAAATAGGTAAGGTGGCAGTACTTCCCTGGACGAACTCTTTCACAAGGAGCTCTACTGCTACTAAAACTGCCTCCTTGGCCGAATGGTTATCATTCGGTCTGCCACGCAGAGGTCCCGCGTTCAATTCCCGGGCCGGGAGAAATATTTGTATTGCCTACATTTATTTTTCTCGAGAGTTTGGGTGTAATTTGTGGTTGTCTATGTGTATGTCCATGGCATCCGCTACACAGGGTTTCCTTGGTGCGGGGCTTTGAGTGTGTGCGTTATTATTATTATTATTGTACAGTTTCAATTTTATAAATTTTCGAAATGCCTGCCTTGGTTTGTAATACACAAATAACATTGATACACAAAGTTCTTTTCAGTCTGTGAAACAACTTACCAATTTTCTCGTATTTACTTTATTGCCACTTACATTTTTTGGCATATCTAGGTATCGTTCTGAGGTACTTTCCAGGGCGAATAAATCAATCATGCTTATATTTGGTGATCTTGGTGGAGGCCAGTGGAGTCTAGTGCCACCACGACAGAATCACTTCTCTGAGTACGTGTTTTGCAGAAAAATTAAATACACACCCAAATAACAGTTAAAATCATCGCCTTCATCAAAGGTTTAAAACAACGGCGATACCTAAGAATAAATATAAAAATGTGTCTTGGCGTGATAGCTACATTGTCACACTACTTTCATACCATAGTTAATTTGATTTAGTAGAACATTGAATAAAGAACTAATGTTTTTTTTTAAACAGCCATTACGAAATCCTCTAAATGATTCGACCACTGCAAATGGATCACTCTGTATAGATGTGACTCAATATTTAAGCTAGTTATTATATAATTCCTAGAACGTAGGCGCGAACGGAAATAGGTACGTTTTTCTCTTTAATTAAATATTGTTAAACTGATAACCTGTTTCAAGTTCGTTGATATCTTTGATACGGTGTGAAACAGTTCGCATCTCTATGTTTATTTACAATGTACCAGTTTGCGTAGTTATTTTTATATCTTGCATATAAAATTATTTTATATTATAAATTACTGTATTCTGTTATTGTAAGTATGTTTACAGTAACCAAATGTTATAATCATCAAAGTAAATTTAAAAAATATCTCTATTGATAGGTGTATCAAATTAATAGCAAATTAATCATACATGAAAGATCACAATGATTAACTAACTAATTAAAATATTACTACTGATTCGTAAGGCACATAAAGTCTTGTTTTGCAAATATTTTCTATAATTTAAGTTTTTTTTAAATATTAATTAAAGCTCAGTACAGAGTACCAAAAACCAATCTCAAATGTCATTCATCCCCTAGTTTGCCTCCCTTAGAGGTGGAATATTTTCTTCAAATTTAAATGGATCACTTCTGATGTACCCTCTTTCCAACAAATAAGAATCATTAAAATTGGTTTCCAAATGAGTTATCGCGTAACATACATACAAAAAAACAGTCTAATTGAGAACCTCCTCCTTTTTTGAAGTCGGTTAAAAATAGTAAGATCTGAAAGCGGTACTACCATGGATTATAATAATAAGCATAAGCTGTATAAAGTTTTAGTTTGACTATAGTTTTAAACCTCGTAAATGGCACGTTTTGAATAACAACATGATTTTTATTTGTTGATTTTAAAAGAATTTGAGCCTTTATGAAGAACACTGCCAAAAAAGCCAATTAGTCTTAACATTTCTAAATTATAATTTCATACATGTATTGGACACTAGTGTAACAATGTTAATTTTGTTTGAATTCAGAGACATTCTGAGGCTCTGTTTGTGAATTGCTCTTACAGCACATTTTTGCAAGACTAAAAGATTGTATCAATGTCGGCGGCATTACCCTAAGGCAAAATG